GCAACTAAAAAATAATTTTCAATGCGTCGCTTAGTGACTTCATGAGTCTATTTGGCCATGGTGCAGTATATTCTACATTTGAGGCATGGTTTAAAGAATGTGTAAGTGCATCTTACATACATTTTCACATGTGAATATACATACTTGTGAAGATACTTGCTCACTTGTGATTTATTTAACACTACATGTATGTCAATAATCCAAACAACGGTGTTAATTAAATTTTGAAAGACATATCTTAGGGACTTGCATCTACGGTTACGACTATGTCTAAGTATTGTGTGAATGATTACAAATTTCACACCGAGGAATGTTCCAAGTATAAAAAAAGCAATAACAATGGGGTGTGTGTCAAAGATGGTGAAGGCAACCAGGATGGGGAAAATGATTATTATGGTGTGATCAAAGAGATTCTAGAATTGTCATATTCAGGTTGGCCAAATAAGAAGATCATACTTTTCTGATGCAAGTGGTTTGACCCAACACTTAGAAGAGGTACAAATGTACACTCATAGTACAACATAATTGAGGTTAATAAAAATAGGGAGTATGATCGCTATGATCCTTTTATAATTGCAGAAAAAGTTAGGCAAGTGTATTATGCTCCATATCCATTGCAGAGGGATAAGGCTGATTGGTTGGTTGTAATCAAAACAAAGCCTGTTGGTAGGGTAGAAGTTAAGAATGTGCTAGATATTGCTTACCAAAATGATATCTCAAGTGTTAACCAAATGGTGGATGATTAGTTAGAAAATGACTTGGAACATCCTCAACGCATATTAGAAGAAGTTGATATGGAGGAAATAACAATTATAGAAAACGAGGATGAATAATCACCTAATGAAAATGAAATAAGTGGAGAGGAAAGATTTTCAGACAGGGAAGGATACGTCGAAGACGACTAGCGTGTTAGTTTCTTCAAGCGCTCTCAACTTATATAGATTTACATTCTCAATTCTAACATTTTTTTAATTTATGTAGATGACCGGTAGGGGTCGAGGTAGGTCTAGGAAGGATAAAAGGCCTATTGATCATGATGATGGTGCTACACCCTCGCTTCCTTCCACTCTACACTTGCATCCCTCTGCTACTGATGGTCGACAACAATCTTCTAGGCACACATCTATTCCACCACATCCATCTACTCATAAGACTACTTACCATTCACCCTCCCAACAGTATTATTACTATTAACCGCCACAAGTCTATACCCCACTTCCTCCATATGATCATACATGTAGTTATATGGGTCCATCAAGTCAGCAATCACAGGGCCATATGGTACGGCCGCCATCTGCTCTATTTGCTTCATCACCAGCTGGATCGCATCCATCTACATTTTAGCCAGCCGGATTGCGGTAGTGGTTTGGATCGCAGCAAGGGTCTAGGCAGATGCAGGGGTATGGATCGCAGCCATCTTCATCAGGGACCCCATCTCCCTCTCCACGAAGTTCATCTCCTAGCATTTCTAGACTTCGTCTTCGGGATAGTAGCGCTGAGCCAGATGCCTCCCCTTCTGCGCACGCTTCAGATTCATCGGAGGATGATGATCCAGATGAAGTGCGGTATCATCAGGCATGAGGGCAATGGGTAAGATTTATTTATTACTTCTTTATTTTTGCTGAATTATAATAGCTACTTTTGTTTATTTAATGTAATTTCTATGTTACAGGTTCATACCTAATCATCAAGTTACAAAGATAATCACTGAAGTTCTTGGCCGGTTGTATGATGCATCCTATCCAACTTGGAGTGACTTTTCATCGGAGCTCGTGCATCAAGTTTTCAACCAATTTAAGCTTTAAATACAATTCTTATCTATTTAAGCATTATATTAACAACATTTTCATCTAATGTTACATACTTTATTTGCAGACTAAGTGTGCTTGGGAGGACCAATATAACAGTGAAATTTGTGCAAATTTTGTGTTCAAATGCCATAAGAGACTATTTGATTCCTTCGGCTCCGCTTGAAACAAGAACAAGAAGCCTTCATGGGGTCTACCGCATTTATGGGAGGATCTGCTGAGGCAAATTCGAGAAGAAGAGTGAACAGGGAAAGAAGGCTCGAGCATCTGAGAAAGGTGGCTCCTTGCACTGGTGGGTGCAAGGATCATGGGGGCTACGAGAGACTACTGGTAATTCCTTAAAATATTTACATCTATTTTTATCGAACTATATTTATATATTTTAATTTAGTTAACAAGTTTTATTATATTTGTAGGAACAAAAATATGGGAGGAAGATGACTCATGATGAGTTCTACATGGAGACTCACATCCGGAAGAAGAAGGCACCGACAGATCCAACTAGATGAGTCGAGGACCGGGCGGAGACTACATATGTAAGTTTCATAACTACTATAAATGTTCATATTATTATATAGTTAATAATTTTCAATCTTCTAAATAAAGGGTCGCTATAAGATTAATGTGGAGGAGTACACTCAGAGCTTGCCACCGAGTGAGCAAGGCGAGCGACCACCCCTTTCAGACGAAGACGCGCAGAGGATATGGTTGGATGTTGTCGGTGGTCCTAATATGGGGATAGCATACGGCCTTCCAGGCGAGGCAATTGATAAGCCGACTATCTCGTCTATGGAAAAGAAGATCGCAAAGCTAACAGCAGAGCCTGAAGAGACAAAGGCTAGAGAACAAAAGAGAGATGAACAATTTGGTACCCTTCAAGGTCAGCTGGCCAATCTTCTTGCTAGTGGTGCTTTCCCCATTTTCCGGTCTCTTGAGCCTTCCCCATGTGCTAATCCTTCTCGTCGTGATCCTTCGAACCACGCCGACGATGAAGGTTCTAGTAGTGAAGATGGAGATGATGCAATATAAAACACTCATTGAATGAGGTGTATTGCTAAACAAAGTCTCGAACTTGTGAATATTTAATTGGGAATAGTTTCTAATGATGATTGTATTGTTGATATTATTTTGTTATTGAGCATTTGTATAGTTGTTGTTGTGGTTGGCGTTGTTGTTGTTATTAGCGTTGTTGGTTAATTGTTGTTGTTGTTGTTAGTTAATTATTGTTGTTCTTGGTTAATTATGGTTGAATGGAAGCAATGTAATGCTGTCATTATAGGATGGATATTGGTTGTAATTAGTAGGTGGTGCAGCTTAAAAGCAGGCATATTCTGCCCGGTTTTTACCTAGAAAACGGACCGAAATCGGTCGGAAATATCATTTTTCCCCAGAAATTCAAAATTTCCGACCGAATTCTGTAGAAAATTTCAAATGAAATCTCCAGATTCTTGAAATTTCCAATCGAAGTCGGTCAAAAATTTTGAATTTAAATTTATTTATTTAAATAAATTAACAATTTATAAATAATTATATATTTAAATAAAATTATTTTATATTTAAAATTCCTACCGATTTTAGTCGGTATTTGAAAAATAAATAATATATTTTTTTAATTAATACCGACCGATTTCAGTCAGTATATGTAGTTTGGTTGTCAGTTAATGCATTGAACTAACTGACCGTTTTCAGTCGAAAACTTCTATCGATTTCGGTCGATTTTCCTAGATGAAATTAGCCAGTTTTTAGTAGTGGGAGTTCCAATTCATGAATCTCCTTTTTCTGAAAATATTTTATCTCGGTAAGGAACAAGTCTATAATTGAGAGCATAAACCTTCTGATTCATGAATCTACTTTGTGAAAGTATTTGGGGAACAATTTTAATTCATAATAGGGCAACCCGGTGCACTAAGCTCTCGCTATGTGCGGGGTCGGGGGAAGGACCAAACCACAAGAGTCTATTGTAGTGTAAACTACGTGCATACTTTGGTCTTCAGCTTTTTCTTGCAAATTCTATATTAGAGAAAATGAATCACATTTTGAGAGGATAAAATTAGACTCAAATCCTCTTAATTCCTCCATATTAGGGTGCCTTGTATCCCTCTCTTCCATACTCGTCACCCTATTCTTATATCAGCTACAAGAGTTTCGACGAGTATGTGTCAATAGATTTCTGATAGGTTATATGTGTGTCTATGTTATGTTTTGATGATCTAACAAACTTACTGATATGAACCGGATAAGGAACCTAATACACATCCTGAAGAATTTAAAGATCAACAAGTCTCCAGTTGGGGACACAGTTCAACTCTTCAGAGTCGAAGGAACAACAGAGGGAACAGATAGCTACCAGTTCCCGAGGAGACTGTACAAGTCAGCTGCCCCAGCTGTAAAGTTGCTGACTGCACACGTTATATTATAGAAACAATGCAACAGTTAACTTTCTCGGGAATGCCCTTTATCTAACTTGCTTACATCATTCAAAGTGAAGTCATAAATAAATTATTAATATCAAGCAAGGTAAAATAAATCACTTGCACATTCAAGAATTGATCAAGTTTTTCTCTCAAGCCATCCATCAATCTTGCAAGTGACTCTCAAGGGCATCAAGAACAAACAACAACATAGCAACGGACCAGTTCCCCGTATTGAGTTATTATATGTCCTTAGTTGTGTTGTACCTTTGTTAAAGTTCTTTACTTGTAATTCCTACTTAGCTTAGTTAGAAGCATTGCGTAGGAAATCCTTTGTAAATCATAAACCCTTGTGTTTGTGTCTTGGTTAGAGTTAGTCAAGTTGTAAAGTCTTTTGTAATACAGTTATTACAAAGTGGCTTGTAATAGAGTATTACAAGTTAGTGAGAGATTAAGAGGTTAATTCCTAAGTTACATAGGTTGTAATCTAAAGTTGCTCAGTAGTGAAGTTGAAATACTACAAAGGTAGGTCGTGGTTTTTTATCCAATGAGCTGAGAATTTTCCACATAAAATTCCTCGGTGTCATTTACTTACTGCAGTGTGCGTGTGTCCTGTGAAAACAAATAGAGAACCTGGTTCTCCGTATAGTTTGGTGAACCCTTAAATTCTATCAATTTCACAATTATGGACAAACAACACATCACAATCTCAGGCGATTTGCCACTTCCAGAATCTGAATTCATAAAAACCCAAAAACTAATGAAAATTAATATCCTCAAATAATGATTAAAAGCGACTAGTTCATTAATCATATGAACTCAAGCCAATTCAGTAATAATATTTTACGTCCCAACGTATAGAATATTCCATGTATAACACATCTTGATCAACCATATATATCGACCTGCTCAATTCAAATAACAAACTAGTGTAAATTGCGCATTTACTTTAAAAATACTTTAGGTTAAGCTTTTGGGGGAAGAGAAGAAACGGTAAGTTCCTGGATTCCTGTTTGGGAGTCATTTGCAGGTTCCTTGATTCCGGTTTGGGAGTCATTTGCAGGTTCCTTGATTCCGGTTTGGGACTCAATGGTAGGTTCCTTGATTCCGGTTTGGGACTCAGCATGTTCTTGCACATAACCTTTAGCTGAATTTCTTCCCTTTTCTTCTTTAGCCAGTTTTTCCTTCGTCTTCTGTCCCACTTCCCCGGCAGCCTTAGTGACCCGACTGAAAGCACCCGCAGCCCAAGTTACCCCCGTCAAAGCGTATCTGTTCTTCATGATCGCGGATCCAGCATTGCTAACCGTCTGCTCAGCAGCTGCAAAAGCAGATTTTGACTTTTCGGACACTTGGAACTTCTGGTCCATTTCTTTTACTTTGTGGTTCACTATGGTTGCTCCCGTAGTGATTTTCTCGCTAAGGCCATATTTTTGGTCTAAAGAAGCAACTCTGGCTGAAGTAGTGGATGTGATCTTGTGTTTCTCATCTAATGCCTTGGCTTTGCTAACTGCGTCCTTGCCCAAGATAAAGCCTTTTGCCAACATGCTGCTGACGACGTCTTCCGCTTTTTGAATAGCTGATCCACCAGCAGCAGGTATATTGGTGCTTCCAGTTGGCTGCAGATATAAAAGGTACACCTTTTACAGAAAATCTTGTGATGGATGAAACCAAAAACCTTGCTTAAAAAAATGAAGTTATACGTACAGGTGGTGACACTGAAGCTGTAGGTGGGAGCTTGTACTCGGGTGCAAGGGCTATTGTGATGGACTGATCAACAATTGTAGCTCCCTAAGAAACAGCAAAATGATCTTATCAATCGCCAAAGCGGAGTGGTCAGGAACAAATTTAGAATTGGAAATATGTTATCCTTGTAACCAAGAAGCATGCAAGTTAAGTACACAATCAGCTACACTTATGCTTAGATGCAGTCACTTTTATCTGTATATCTACTATAAAGCTTCAGTTCCCTTACTTCCTTTCTGTTCTTTTTTTCATTCTAGACAACAATGTGTACCAAGTATTCCTTCAGGTACACCATTTAGTAATTCTGACTTTAGTACTAAAACTCTAAAAGTAGAGAAAATTGTCAATAAAATCTTTATAAGATTATGTGCTTCCTTTTTCCAAACTAACTTTTACAACTAGAAAACTGCTACATTTCAAAAGACTCATCCATTTTTTACACTAAGCTAAATGCAGTATAGTCCATTAACTTTTCAAACTGCAGTTTCCCCTGAAGCTATGTTGATCCTTAAGCCAAGAGGCAAGAGACATGGATCTAGGCTTGGATGATTAGTTGACTACTTTGCACTATTCTCTGGCAACACTGGTGAGCTTTGAGACTTTCAGCACCTCAACGTGCTCGGACTAAACTGAAAGCATAATTTTGCTGTTTAGGGGTTATAGATAAATCCCCAGAGGCATATCCCAAATTCTTGATCTGCCTAATAAACCGTCTCCACCCTCCCCTCCCACACCAAGAACAATGGAAGAAAAAGTTGCCATGCACAATAATATGTACCATCCTCCAACTTACTCGATGCTACTCTTACAATTTTACAATAGTGACAGTGGGACACCTCAAGTTTCCCATTCCGTTTCACCTCACAAAACAACACAACACTCCACACGGAGGGAACAGAGTGTAATACATATGGAAGGATTAAAAAAAGGACTAGGAGCTTGTATATTTTCTTCATAAGGGATGCTTGCGAGATTAACTGATACAGCATTCTTGTACCTTTTACAGAGTTATTGTTGTACACTCAAAGACACAACGTCATAAATTATGCTAATAGAAATTTGATTCCTTCAAAAAAAAAAATCAGTACTTCATCAACAGAGGTAAGCATTAAATGAATTAGAGTCACAGTTGTTGAAACTTAGTAACAGAACGAAAAATCAAACATACCGAAAGAAGAACTGCCGTCTCTGCACTCTGAGGATCCTTGAACGTGATATAAGCAACTAGAGATCGCTCATTATCACTATAAAAGAAGATAAAAGAAACCATCAATCAGCTGGCATTGTAATTGGCTGCTTTTATATTCTCAATAGGGACATTTTCCATAAACGTACTAAAAGTTTATGCAAACATAAGTTGAGTGCTCAAAAGAAACTAACCTTCTCATCTCAACAAATTCAATATCCCCAGAGAATGAAAAGAACTCCTTGATATCTTGCTCTTTAGCACCCAAAGAAACATTGCTCACTTGCACTGTCTTAACCTTTCATTATAAACAACTAGAGAAGATCAGCAAGTCGAGAGAACATAAGAAGTAAAGGATCTTCTTCTCTTTTTTTTTCCCCTCCATTTTTCTGCTTGGGGATGAAGAATCTTGCACTTTCTAAACAACATGAATATTTATCACCTATGGATATATTGCCATAAAATTAAAAGTTACAGGTCATATAAATCTACTAGTTAAAGAGAGGTTAGAAACATTAATTACCATTTCCATTTATTTATTTACTTCTATCAGGTCCACAAATGAAAGCCAATGATCATAGAACAAGAAGTCACAAATGGAAAAATAAATCAGCTAATTTTCAACAACAAAAAGAAGAAGAAAACGAAAACGAAAACGAAAAAGAGAAGCAAAAAACAAGAACATCGAGCTACACACTTACCGACATCGATACAAAGCAGACCACGAAATCAAACTAAGAAATATTTGGGGGCTATCGGAAAATTAATTTGCAGGAAGAATCAAAACGAAGAAGAGAGAGAGAGAGGTGTAAAATATTATTATGGAGGGGCTAGAAATGAACGTGTTATACGCAAGAGTTGGCGAATGGACACGTTCTTTTCCATTCCGTGGTATATGAGACCTATAACTAATTTTACCCTTTGACCCACATCTTAATGAACAAACTCGATAAACACTAGTCTTGTCCTAAAGAGAAAGTGAAACTAATTGTAACTATTGAAATGTTATAGAAACACGAACTTTTTAATATTTCACTAATATTCTTTGAACAATAAGGTGAAATGTTACAAGAACTAGTCTTTAAAAGAGAGATTATTTTTAATTATTGGAATGTGATGAATGTTGTGCATGCTCAAATAAATGATTAAATATCCTTGTATTTTACTCTAGGATATTTATCCAAAAGATGTCCAAGAGATTGAGACCTCCCCAAAAATGGTCCCATGGTTAATAGGTCATATTACAAGACGGAGTCCAATTAAACCTCCACTAACATAAGTGTAAGTGAAAGATTAGTATTCATTTATTTAGTGTAAATATTGAATACAAATAAGTATTGTTTACCCTAAAAAAACAGATAACAGTTAAATTTGTAAGTGCTTTTAAGGATATGCGGATTAATTCAATATAAACGATAAATTGTGTTAGATTAAACAAATAAAGACGTAATAAATTATCAAACCACTTATGGGGGTGATTCCGGACTCAACAACAACCTTAATGAAATATCTGCCCTTGATCCCGAACTCACAATAACGAAGAATTGATGAACAAGAGTAAGATCCTTAAATAACAGAGAAAATAATAGTGTATTGCCTTGATATGCATGTTACAATGTCTTTAATGAATAATCGGATCTCCTTTATATAGTAGGGGAGTTCTATTCTAAGTACAATTTCATAAAAGGTAAAAATCTTCTGTTTAACTAATTACCGGATCTCTGTCGATACGTTCCGAGATTCACGCCGTGATATCCGTCCGATTACGAATATCATGGCCTTTTGTTGATCGTACTTGATTGTCTGGTAATGCTCTTTGAGGCCTTTGGGGTTCGAACCGGACCTAGGGGCCATGGCCCCGATACTCCCGAGGGCAAGTGCTTAGCCTGGACCCCGGATCGAGGGGCTCCTTGCCTCGATTCCGGTTCCTTGCCTTTACGTCTCTTGCTCTATTTACTTTATTAGAAATCGAGGCATCTCATAGGCTCGGTTTTACCCGTATACAGATAGTCCCATCATTTCTCGGAGAGTAAGTTTACGAAAACGATATGAGCTCTTTGATTCCTTCTTCAATACGCCGTAACAGAAAACAACAAAGAATCTGAAACGTCTTGTCAGTCACGTCATAATGACTTCAAATGCGTGTTAGCCGTCGGCAGGCCATTGCAGGACGCAAAACAGTGAGAAGCCCCTATAAATACTCCCATCCTTCGTTCATTTTTTACTTTGGACCAAGCTTCTACCTTCAAATCTTCAAGATATTATTTTTTTCTTCATACCCCAGCATTTTTACCTTCATTCTTCAAGACTTTTCAACAAATTACAAGTCCTTATTTATCTTCAACCCAAACCAGCATGCTTAATTTCCTCATCAAGCTTTTATCCTTTGTCTCCCAACCTTCCTTCATACTTTTTCAAACATTTTCCAGATAACAATGGTGAAAACTTCCATGACTATTCCTCAAAAGGTCGCTTCTTCTTCTTCGCGGCCGTCCACCAAAGTCGAGGAAACCACCCCCGATGTGGTTGTCCTCAAGAAGTCTGCTTCGGGCGCGGCTATCGATGAACTGGCAGCCGAGCCCCCTTGAAAATGTTCATCCTCAGGGGATGTTTGGTCGCGAACAACTTTAAGGCCAAATAGCCTTCATAGGTGCAAGGCCGATGCGAGGCGGTATCTAGGTACATCTGCTCCATCACCAAGGATGTCCTTCCTGTAGTTCAAAAGGACTGTGGCTGGGCGTATAAGGACATAGTAATCCCCGGTCTCGACGACAACATTACTACCCATGTGGAGGGGTATTTGAGTGTCTACACTTATCTTTTCACACTGGCTTGGTGGACCCGGTTATCTTCGAGTTCTACAAGAGGTATGACGTATGCTTCTGTCAGATTCATCCATCGCTATGGAGGATCGTAATCCTCCTTTGATATTTTGTGAATAAAGTCGAATTCTCACTGTTCACCATTGATCATATACTCCGCTTGTATAGTCCTCAAATTTTTCCGAGAGGAGGGGAGGGATTATAAAGCTCATGAGCCCTAGTAGCAAAGCCCATTTTCAAGCAACGACGAGGATTAGGATCAGGGCTAGCAGGGATGCTTTGTCTGGGTGAGGACCGCATATTTTATCCCTACCAAATTTAGGACATTCCCCAAGAAGTGGAATGTATCACGTAAGCATACTTTCTTTTAGATGTCAATTTTATGTTTTATTTCCCTTTTCCTCATCGGTATTTGTGGTGGTGTAGCCCTTGCTCGAGTCCCAAATGCCATTCCTTGCCTGAAGGAGTGGATTGAGGGCATTTGCTCGCAGATGCTTTATTTTGAGCGTTCACGGCGTGAGCTCTCGAAGGGCCATTGGGAGGCCCATTCTCACGGTGAGATCTCTTTCTCGGATAAGTAACATTAGGTAAGATCCTTTTCTTTCTTTTCTTCTTGCGGGCTTGCTTAAGACCATTGAGCTTAGGCCTTTAGTAGGGGCGAAGACCTGTCCGTTGATCCCTCTGCTCCGGGACAGCCCTGGGCAATAGTAGGAGAGAAGAAAAGAAGGAGGACTCTGAGTTCCCCGAGCTCAGAGAAGAAAAATCCGAGGAGACGGTTGGTCCGCAAGTTGAAGGAGAGCTCCAGCTCCCGAGCGCCCTACTCGGACTCGCTTTTTTGGCTCAGGGACGAGCCCGAAGAAGGCGATGTTTTTATGGCCCGCGAGCCATCTTTCCCCATAGAGCAGGTGGTAGGCGAGGGGGAAACAATGGAGGCTAATCCCCCTTAGGTTCGAGAGGCTGGTGTAGAGGTAAGGGCCGAGACCTCTCGAGACGTCGGCTCCACTCTGCCCGGTGTCATAGAAATTTTGGGGTTGCCTTTTTTCACAAAATCTATGTTCGACGAAGCCCAAGAGACAAAGGAGCAATCTAACGAATGGGCTCATGGTGCTGACAATCCCCTTTGTTCCTTTTTTGAAGGTGTGTACTCAATCGCCCTGGAAGGCTTCTCCAGGTTGGGTGATTTGGAGGTGCAGAGGAAAAACCCATCTTTGGAGGTCGGCGAGCTAAACTCGAGCCCTAAATTAGTCAATCAGTTCCCCACCCCGAGCATAGATCCCGGCTAAAAGCGGTCAATAATCATCACTATCCCAAAGGATTCCCGGGTTCTTTCCGCCCCTGTTGGAGTAGCTAGCTACCTCCGGTGCCTGGTAACCAAAGAAGACTAGGCAAAGATGAACGAGGTGGATATGTCGTGCTTGTTCAATGAAGCACAACAGGCGCTGAACCGGGTATGGCATCATTACACTATTTCATCTTCGAATTTAGTTTTTGATATCTCTTATGCCTTTTCCTTTTTATATTTTTGCAGGCCTCGGTACTTCATCATGAAACTTTTCTCTGGTACCGGCCTGAGGTTAACCAGCTCGAGAATGAGGTCAAGGAGTTTATTGAGAAGAAGGACATGTATAAGCTTCTCAGCGAGCAACGCGAAGAAGCAGTCAAGAGTCTCCGGGCTGAGTTGGATGCGGCTCAGAAGAAACATGCCGACCTAGTGGAATAGGTAAAGATCTTTAAAGTTAGTGATGATGAGTTAGACATGGCGACTAATGGCCAAAGCCCATAGGGCTATCAGAAGGTTGACCGGATCAACCAACTCCGAGCCGAGATGAACGAGGTCAAGGCCATGGTCGAAGGGTGTAAAGGAAAAATGGAGCAATTGGATTCGGAGAAGGAGATTGCCCGGGAGTAGCTGGCATCGGTGGAGGTCAAACTCCAAGTGGAAAAAGAGAAAACCGAAGCACGGGCTCAACAAATTGAAGACCTCCAGTCTCAACAGGGCTCGACCATTGCTGAACCGGATGCCCTTTGCAAAGAGCTTGAATCAGTGAGGTCTGTGTCAGAAATAACCAGGGATGATGCTGAAGAGATGGTGGCCTACTATAGGGACGATGCTGAGGCAGCCCAGGATCATTTGAAAGTTACTGTTGAGTACGTGAAATGGCTGTCCCAAAAGGAGGCTCTCGAGGAGGTCCATGCCCGGGTTTTCAACCTGTCGGCCGAGATCGAAGATGCTAAAAGGCTCAAGGCCCAGGCCAAGAAGCTGGCTGACCTCGAGGATGACAAAGGATCTGAGGGCTCCGATTAACCCGAGGATGGAGAAGACCCCAACAACCCCGGTGACGAGGCGGGCTCTAGTAAAGATCATGCTTAGGTTCCTTATGGATTTTTCTTTGTTTTTGTATTTTGTTTATTTTGTTGAGACCATTATCGTTTGCCTTTTTAAAGACTTTTATTGGAATGTATATAAGGCTTTTTTCCCTTTGGCAATTTTCGAGCTTGTTTCTTTTGGCTTCCTCTTTATGATTGCAAAGATTTCAAATGCCTTCGCACTGGATAAAACGTAGTAATAAGGTCTTGTTCAGAGGTTCAAACAAGACTCATTCTCGATGTAATCTTATTTGAAACTCGTGGTGGCTTGGTATGATCGAAGCTTTCCCCGAAGTGCTTGTTTAGATATTTTTAAATTATGGTTTTTCCAAGGGTAGACTTTGAATAGGTTTGGAATTTTTGAAGGCCTTATGTTTTGATTACGGGCTTCAGACGTCTCTGAGCCATTTCTAGGGTGGACGTAGCCTTTTAAGTTCAAGTACTACCTAATAGGGTTTGTACCTCTGGGCTTCGATACCCGAGCTGTCCAAACTTTCCCTGGACGATGTTGATACCCAATATTTCCCAAAATATTTTTAAATTGCATATATACCTTCAAAATCATGCATTAATAGCAATAGATATTTTTCCACAATTTTCCTAGATTTTTATTAATTTATCTAGCATTTTATTTCCCAATAAATAATTACAAAATTGCATCACAATTAATTTCAAAAGCATTT